GGCTCCCCCTTTTTGGGGGGGTCCTGTTGCAAAACCAAAATCACCAACCTACGACCCCCATTGGGGGGGGGGTTGGCTACGGCACTGGTCCTAGGGCAACAAGGAACTAGGTAGGTGTAGTGAGCTTTCATTGTCAATTTAATGATATAAAGACGAGCAAGAGAGACGTAACCGATGGAAGGAAAATGCCACAAGAGGCCTCGGAAGGAAAACAACATTTCCGACATAGACAATATGTCCCCAGCAATCCACCCCGTGGCAGAACCACCCACCTTCGCGATTCCGACTGTGATGAAGTACAAGATTTCCAAAGCAACCGAATTCAACCATGTATACGAGGTAGTGGTAGCACGGGAACTGGAATACAAGAAGTTCAGTGTGAAGCCCAATCTAGTTGGAGACTTGATACTTTCCCCCCAAGACCACAACACAGCCAAGATCCTCAGCGAGGTCAGCAATCTCAACGGGAAGACGGTCAAGATAATACCATGAGACCCCGAGGAGAAAACAACCAGAATGATCCTAGTACGATATCCTCTGGAACTTCCTGTAGAAGTCATCATAAAACATATAAAAGTGACCAAGGCAGAGCTCTGTGTTACGAGTCAGGACAAAGCACAGACAGGGCATGTGTATTGGACATCAAGGGGACAGTCCCAGAGGAGGTAGACCTAGGCAACTGAGGGACTTACAAGTTGCGTCCTTTTGTCCCAGAACCACTACGATGCTACAAATGTCAGAAATTTGGACATCACCAATCCAGACGCCACAAAAAGTGAGATGTGGCATCTGCAGCCAAAGCCACAAGACAGAAATGTGTATTCAAACACACAAGGAAGGAACCACCACGACAGCCAAGTGCCCAAATTGTGGAAAGAAACATCACGCTTGGAGCACATCATGCCCAGAGAGGAGAGAGCGGATGAAAGTTTCAATGGCAAAAATTCAACCACAAAACACAACAGAAGCACTTCAGAGCACATTCGTGTGGGGTCAACAGCGAAAGAAAACTGTTAACCCAACACCCACCCCGCCCCAACTGTCAGAGGATTTCTTCCCTGCATTTCCCCTACCAGGCTACAGGACAAAATTGAAGACACCGGGACAAAATCAGTCCATGCAGGAAACCATGACAAATCAGTGAACTCCACAACCGCAGCTCCAGAGCTGTGTAGCAGTAAAAGCACAGAACACTCCAGTATTGGTGGGACACTGCAACCCTCTCAGGCGACCACCCAACTGAACCCCAGCCTGCCAATCTACAAGCGGCATTCACACAAGAACAAATAAAACAAATGATCACCATTATGATAGTGACTTTCTCTACTATAATAAAGAAACAAGATGCCAGCACCGAAAATATAATAAATGCAGTTATGACACAGCTACAAGTAGAACAGACGACGCCCTTGAGTCAGATATCAGACAAGAAGAACAACTTGCCATCTGAGAGATCACTTAAAACCGTGAACCCCCAAGCACCTTGCAACAGATCATGAGGAATAGAACAACAAGCACAGACCGTCAGCAAACACACGATCACAGGCAAGACCGACAGGACCCTGAAGAGAGCAGAAAAATCTCCCAAAATACCTCCAAAAACAAGCGGAATTCCACCTCCTACTCCTCCCTTGGAGTAGGTGCCCAAGATACAGCCATCAATGAGCACACCATTCCTAACGGACGAGGAGGAGAGCGACTCAACCATGAACGCCGAGAGCAACTACAGCACCAGCGACGAAGAGATAATGATAGAATAGCCCCACCTCCTTGTCATCTCAAGATAACACAGTGGAATGTACAAGGCCTGTCCAACAAACGGCATACTGCACAAACAGCAGCCATAGCTAAAAATATTGATGTCTTCTTTCTGCAAGAAACCCTGATGTCAAAAGATAAACAATTCCGCTTGCCTGGATACCAACAGTACTCTGTACCAAAGGGGCCCAACTCCCATGGCAGCATGATTCTCGTCAGGGGGACCATCCCCAGTTTAGAAGTAGAACCAGTTCACTGTGGAGATGGAGTAGAGGCACAAGCTGTTCGGATACACCTGGCAAACGACAGTCTTGTAGTATACAACATCTATAAACCGCCACCCAAACGACTAGAAGCCGGTGAACTACTGACACAAGCAGCACAGGAACTTGTGTTCATTGCTAGGGACTTCAATGCCCACCATCCAACGATCATTCCGACCACAACAATGAACGAGGATGGTCATCACCTGGTGGAACTGCTGACAGATGTTCCAGAAATAACGCTCATTAACACTGGGGAACCAACACACATACTGAGAGGAACATAGGACCTCACATTCACTGAGCTCGTTCCAGTAGTTCAGTGGGAGATGGGTGATGAACTGACCAATGACCACTTTGCAACAACAACTACTTTGAGGATGGAGCTACCCCTTCCTCTAGAGAACGCATTTGGGCTGGCAAATGCACAGGCCATTGTAACCACTCTGGCCCGGAAAGGCGTCAAGAGATGCCTACTGGCTTGGATTGTTGACTATCTCAAAAACAGAACAGCAAGAGTTACCTTTCAAGGACAAGTCTCAGATCACCAAAGACTGGAAAATGGCGCACCACAAGGAGGAGTTCTTAGTCCAACTCTCTTCAACATCCTCATGGAAAACTTGTGTTGGCTCCCCTTTCAAGAGGGTACCAAACTGCTATGCTAGGCTGACGACTTAGCACTGATAGTAAAAGGCAGAAACCAGATCAGCTGAGTCCAAAGAGCACTAGACCTCATTAGTGAATAATGTAAGAGTCTCGGGCTCAAGATATCAATCCCAAAATCGAAATCCATGAGGATTGGACACAATGAGCCGGTGACACAACTGCAAATACAAGGTATTGCCCTACAATGGGTCAATGTATACAAATACCTGGGCATCTGGATTGACAAAGGCCTCAAATTTGACACTGAGATAAACTATCTAAGAGACCGAATAGGCAAGAGAGTCAACATGATGAGAGCCATGACAGGACCGAAGGTGGATGCGGGACATGTAGTCCGAAGAACGCGTTACTGTATATACACGCCATTCGATCATTAACAGACTATGCGACACCGGTTCTTAACGCACTGTCTGAGTAGCAGTGGGAGAAATTGGAGGTTGCCCAGAATAACGCTATGAGAGTCATTGTCAAGGCACCTATGTGGACAAAAATTGAAAACTTACACATGGAGACAGGTCTCACATCACTTCAAACCAGGACGGAACGATTAACAGCGTGCTTTGCAACAAAACTGATTACCAGGGCTCTTACGAGCACTGAAAGTTAACTGAGATATCTTGAACAAGAAAGCATGGCTATTGTGCGTATCTGACGCTGTAAATCGACTGGAATTGAAAGACACAATCCTCAGTAAAGGACCTGATACAATGAGTCCAGACTACAGCACCTCAGCACCGTGGGAGTCCCCGCTAGCAATCTTTAACATTCTACAAACTGGGACAAGAAAGGCTGACTGTAACCCACATGAGCTCCGATAGGTAGCAGAGAGAAACATGAAGGCTCTAACACCACACCAGTACGAAGGCAGGAGCAGCCTTCACCATAGAAAGAGGTAACACGTCCCTTTGGAGAACCACAGATGGATGCTCTACTTTGCAAGTTGAGCTAGCTGCCATACTTTAAGCCCTAAGACACGCGTCCATAAACAGTCAACAAGGCTTTGTAATACACACTGACTCACGATGTGCTATTGAAGCACTACAATGGAAAGATCCTAGAGACAACATTCATCTCATAACATCCGTTGTTGGCCTACTGGAAGGGTTAAAACTACAAGATCGGCAAGTTATTATTAACTGGGTGCCCAGTCATATCGGAATCCCAGGTACTATCTGGTCACGAATTATGAGAGACCACCACTCATGAAGAATATAACAAGAAGGGAAGAAGCCATCTTCCACCGACTGAGACTGGGATACCCATGCACACTGTATGGGAAATCATTGTACAAGTACCAGCAGAACAGCGACAGCGGAGCAGAAAACTCACTGCAGCACTACCTCATGAGTGCCCTGGAACACAATTAGCTAGGAGAAACATACAACCCCCTATCACAGCAGAGAAGGTTGCCAAAATGTTAACCACCAACCACTCTCAAGAAACCCTACAGTTTCTTACCGAGCATCCACCCCTACGCTAGAAATGGAGATGTATAGTTAACTAAAAATATGCTGGTGTTTTATCCCAGTAATGGGTGGACCAGCATTTTAACTTAAGGTCCGCTTAGATATTATTCCTACAAATCTTAAAAAAAAAAAAAATCGAAGCGGCCACTCACTCTCGCTCCGTGCTTGAACACAGTTCTCCTCGCTACACCAATAAACTGGCAAACATAGCCTGAGTTTTCATGGACCAAAACACCACACAGGTACACAATGCTGGTATGCAGTTCAGAATGTATATAGACAATGCTGGTATACAGTTCGGTCTGTATAGAGATAATGCAGGTATACAGTTCAGCATGTATATATACAATGCGGATCTACAGTTCAGCTTGTATATAGGAAATGCCAGTATACAGTTCAGCATGTATAAAGACAATATTGGTATACAGTTCTGCAAATATATAGACAATGCTGATATGCAGTTCAACATGTAAGCATAAGATTTGGGTATACAGTTTAGCATGTATATGCACAACGTTGGTATACAGTTCAGCATGTATATACAGCACTGTAGACAATGCCATTATTCAGTTCAGCATTTATATACACCGTGCTGTAAACAATGTAGGTATACAGTTCCACACTGACATAGGCAATACAGGTAAAGCAATTTAACCAAAGATAACCAATAAAGGCATACTGGATGCTTATTTCCAGTTGGGTCCTGTTGCTTAGGCTTGGGTACTAATCAACAATATTAAGTATGCCTATACAAGAGTAATGGTGGAAATTTTTCGATAAATTTAACACGCATTACAATAATCTTAGGTAGTATTGTGATGTGTTTCCTTTGTTTCATCTGCCACAGCCCATCCACACGCTCAAAGTACAGAGCTTCTACAAACACAAGAGTAGAGAAGTATCTGAAAGTCGACGCACAGATGGAAACAAAGCATATCAAGAGAAGAAATATCAACAAGCACTGTTGAATTATTCACAAGCGGTGATGCGCGCCCCATACGATGAAGGTGTGTGTGATGCATTGTTATATTAGTGGGATGACTGTTATATTAGTGTGATGATTGTTATATTAGTGTGATGACTGTTATATTAGAGGGATGACTGTAATATTAGTGTGATGACTCATACTAGTGTGATGACTGTTAGGTTAGTGTGATGACTGTTAGGTTAGTGTGATGACTGCTATATTAGTGTGATGACTGTTATATTAGTGTGATGAATGTTATATTAGTGTGATGACTGTTATATTAGTGTGATGACTGTTATATTAGTGTGATGACTGTTTTATTAGTGTGATGATTGTTATATTAGTGTGATGGCTGTTATATTAGTGTGATGACTGTTAGGTTAGTGTGATGACTGTTAGGTTAGTGTGATGACTGTTAGGTTAGTGTGATGACTGTTATATTAGTGTGATGACTGTTATATTAGTGTGATGAATGTTATATTAGTGTGATGACTGTTATATTAGTGTGATGACTGTTATATTAGTGTGATGACTGTTTTATTAGTGTGATGATTGTTATATTAGTTTGATGGCTGTTATATTAGTGTGATGACTGTTATATCAGTGGGATGACTATTATATTAGTGGGATGACTGTCATATTAGTGTGATGACTGTTATATAAGTGAGATGACTGTTATATTAGTGGGATGACTGTCATATTAGTGTGGTGACTGTTTTATTAGTGTGATGATTGTTATATTAGTGTGATGACTGTTATATTAGTGTGATGACTGTTATATTAGTGGGTTGACTGTAATGTTGGAGTGGTGGTTGTGTGATGTTCATGTTGAGGTTGCGTGATGTTAGTGGGGTGGTTGTGTGATATTAGTGTTGTGGTTTTTTGATGTTAGTGTGGTGGTTGTGTGATGTTAGTATGGTGGTTGTGTGATGTTAATGTGGTGGTTGTGCTATGTTATTGTGGTGGTTGTTTGATGTTAGTGTGGTGGTTGTGTGATGTTAGTGTGGTGGTTGTGTGATGTTGGTGTTGTGGTTGTGTGATATTAGTGTGGTGGTTGTGTGACGTTAGAGTGGTGGTTGTGTGATGTTAGTGTGGTGGTTGTGTGAGGTTAGTGTGGTGTATGTGTGATGTTAGTTTGTTGGTTGTGTGATATTAGTGTTGTGGTTGTGTGATGTTAGTGTGGTGGTTGTGTGATGTTAGTGTGGTGGTTGTGTTATTTTAGTGTGATGATTGTGTTATGTTAGTGTGGTGGTTGTGTGATGTTAGTGTGGTGGTTCGGTGATGTTAGTGTAGTGCTTATGTGATGTTAGTGTGGTGGTTGTGTGATATAAGTGGTGGTTGTGTGATGTTAATGCGGTGGTTGGAAGTGTGAGGGTTGTATGATGTCAGTGTGGTGGTTGTATGATGTTGGTGTTGTGGTTTTGTGATGTTAGTGTGGTGGTTGTGTGATGTTAGTGTGGTGGTTGTGTGATGTTAGTGTGATGGTTCGGTGATGTTAGTGTGGTGGTTGTGTGATGTTAGTGTGTTGGTTGTGTGATATTAGTGTTGTGGTTGTATGATGTTAGTGTGGTGGTTGTGTGATGTTAGTGAGATGGTTCGGTGATGTTAGTGTGGTGGTTATGTGATATTAGTGTGGTGGTTGTGTGATGTTAGTGTTGTGGTTGTGTGATGTTAGTGTGGTGGTTGTGTAATGTTAGTGTGGTGGTTGTGTGATATAAGTGGTGGTTGTGTGATGTTAATGCGGTGGTTGTAAGTGTGAGGGTTGTATGATGTTGGTGTTGCGGTTTTGTGATGTTAGTGTGGTGGTTGTGTGATGTTAGTTTGGTTGTCGTTTGATGTTAGTGTGGTGATTGTGTGATGTAAGTGGTGGTTGTGTGATGTTAATGTGGTGGTTTTGTGAGGTTAATGAGGTGGTTATGTGATGTTAGTGTGGTGGTTGTGTGATGTTAGTGTAGAGGTTGTGTTATGTTAGTGTGGTGGTTGTATTATTTTAGTGTGATGATTGTGTTATGTTAGTGTGGTGGTTGTGTGATGTTAGTGTGGTGGTTCGGTGATGTTAGTGTGGCGGTTATGTGATGTTAGTGTGGTGGTTGTGTTATGTTAGTGTGGTGATTGTGTTATATTAGTGTGATGATTGTGTTATGTTAGTGTGGTGGTTGTGTGATGTTAGTGTGGTGGTTCGGTGATGTTAGTGTGGTGGTTATGTGATGTTAGTGTGGTGGTTGTGTCATTAGGGTGTGTCATACGGAGGCGAATTTTTTTTTTGGAGTTTGAAAAATCGGCCCATGGTATTAATAATGTAGTTCTGTGTGCAGAATCATGTGATATCTTCAGATTTGAAAAATTTTCATTTTTTGCTAGGTAAATTTTAACTTGAAATCTTATGAAAATTCAGTATTCCCACCCTTTTACCAACACCACTAAATAGCTTATTTAAAGTAAAGTAAATGTATCAGGTTAATTTATTAGGATGAAAATGATCCAGAATAGTGAAACGAATGATCTTGACACATTTATTAAATTTAATATTCCTTTAGAAAACAAAATCATCAAATACAAAACCGGTTTTACTACTACGACCCGGTGTTGCTGCACACCATAGAGAACATGTCTTTCTTGCTTCTGTTTCTACTCATCACCTCCCTGCTGACCACCTGAGCTCGGATGTAGCCTTCCCTCCTCTCCTGGCTGTACACGTGACTGCTGGCCTCGCTCACTTGCTGTACACAACGCTCTATACTCTGGGTGTGCGAGGGCCAGGCAGGGACATGCATGGGGTTGTCCAGGAAAGCTCTGACTTGAACATTGGTGAGGCTGCAGGTAAGAGGGGCTCACTGCCAGCCTGGATGTTATCCATATGTATGAGATCAGTGAGGGTCTTGGCACCTAGATTGACTTCAGGAGTCTTCCTGACCCTGAAGGAATCGTCATCAACTGATTCGTCATGCCTAGATCCTCTCATAAGTCTCATATCCAAGATCTTTTTGACTGCCACTCTTCTCTCCTCCTCATCCTTACTGCAGAGCATTGTCTGCAGAACTGCCTCGGGATGAGCATACCAGGAAGATCTCCTCACAGTCTGCTCCACAATCTGAACAACCTTCCTTGGCTGACTCCTCAGGAGCTCAAGCTGGAAGAGAACATGCCTCGGACCTTCGGAGAACGATGACTTGACCTTGGTGTTGAACCAATTTGGCAAGTAGACACTCACGATGAATTGGACAATAAGTCTCAGGTTGTGAAGCTGGTTCCCTTTCAGTTTATGATGAGCGACCCAAATTCTGCAGAACCTGAGAGCCGTTGTGAGCCACCTAGAATGTGAGACTGGACCTATCTGCAGGTAAGCAAGTCTATCAGGCATGACCCCAGTTTTGATGGCACTGCAAGTCATGTAACCATAGTACTGGTCAGTTCTCAGGTCGTCAATGACAGTATGTGCAAGCTCAATTAGTGGAGGGCCAACTGTGATTTTTTCAAAGCTCGGATTTATTTCTAACTCAGTGGCAGAGTCCAGCATCTTGCCAAGAGGACCAGACCATCTGTTGTTTGAAAGAGTCTTGCCATCCAGCTCCTGGATCAAATGTCCGAGTGGCAACTCGTTGGTGTGGAGGTCACAAACAATCCAGACCAGCTTCCTCCCAATCTTCCGCTCTATCCACTGTATGACCCCCCCTTGCCACCCTGTGCTCGTGTTGGTGCTGTCCCCTCCAATGGCCTGCAGGGTCTGGTCTACGTTCCTCTCTCTTAGCCAGTTCACAATGTTATCTGCCACTATCTCAGCTGGTTTCCTGATGTCATCTTTCTCTGGAGTGAAATGCCACAAATACTTCCCTCCTGGTTCACTGCAGCAGGAGTAGTGTTCCTCCTTCACCATGGCAGGGAACAACTTGTCAGAATCTCCAACTTTCATGAACACTTTAGTGTCATCCCTTCTCCCATCAAAGAACAAACAATTGATTCCATTTTCTCTTATCCCCTTATCAAACTCCTCTTTTAGGTTACTGACAAGTTTCTCCTGAGCTCTCCTTACTTTGTTATGATCTATCACCAGGTGAACATCATCAGGTGTTATCAAATCACCGTCAATCCAGGCAGCTGTTGCTATCTCTGCAGTTTCTCTGAGACCAGTGTGGTGTCGCATGCTGGCCAGAGCTATGCTCGGGATATCTTTCCTATTTCGAATCTTATGCCTGGAAGGTTTGGGATCATTATTTTCTGGGTTAGGGACAAAGTCACCATTCTCCTGGTCAACACTCGGATCAGCCATGGGGAAGTCATTAAACTCTGAATCAGCTTGACTCCAATCATCGGCCTTTTTTACCTCACCCTGGGCCTTCTCAAGTCTCTTTTCCTCGGCAACTCTTCTCCTCTTCTGTCTCTCTGTGGCAGCCTCCTGTCTCTTGGACTCCGGAATATCTTGGCTAGAAATCATGAGAGCCCCTATACTGCCAGTCTTCTCTCTCTGTGCTTTGACAAATGCCAGTTCGATCACAGGAATCTTCAGTTCACGCTTGCAAATACAGGAGAAGTGGGCCTCGGATTTACAGTCACGATCGCATCCAAACTCAGGACAGAGAACAATTGGGCACTTGCAAGTAATTATGTCAAATAACTGGTCCAGGTGCTTGGCAAAGCTGTCCTTAACTGCAAGTTTTCCTCTCCCAAGAGAGATATCTCTTGCCTTTTCCCAACTGGCTAGCAGTCTCTCACTAATCTTCTTCTGACTTGTTATGACTGGAGGCTTGAACTGAGCGTTAGCCAGAGTGTACTGTGCCAAGACAGCTTTGGTCATATCACTGGTCAATGTTTTGTTTGTGTAAGTTCTTTGGTTCTTTTCACTGATTTGCCTGATTAAAACACCGTATCTCAAAGCATCTCTCAATGTAGGCAACTCCGACTTCAGGAGCTCTCTCCCAGACCCAAGATAGTGACTGAGATGGCTGGATTTTTGGTTCCTCGTCCTGACACAAGCAGCCATCGCAAATATTATCAACTTATAAATGCATCAGAATCTGAAACAGAAAAAATATTGTTAGTTGG